ATTTTTCGAAAAGAGGATTAGAGTCAGCCATCAGAATTGACGTTACCTATTACCTGTGCATGCACATAAACTCTGGCTAGAGAACGACGGCTTACTATTGATAGCGCTCTTTGAGAGGATGCTCAAAACCCAAAACAATATTCCAGTGATTGTTATAATTCCAAATGCAGTGTACTGAGTTATTAAGGAGCCGACATTTCGTGCTCGACACGAGCTCAAAGGTGCGTTTCCCCAGTTCCTCGCCCAGGCTTATTTCAACACTCCGCAATTTCATCGATACCAGCAATACATAGACGAAGGTAAACAGCCGAAACAAATGCCCAAAACAGTATTATTACAACAGTCTTTGCCTCTCGAAAGCATTTGAAGACAAACGACAAAGTCTTTTGGCATTTATCGGTTCCGCACAATTCAGAATCGTAGAAACAGCTGAGCGTGTGTGTGGCCTATACACCTGCTTATGTGGTAGCCAACCGATGTGCAAGTCAGTTTTATGGTGCTCCTCTTAGGCAAGTGTTATAGGAAAAGCTTTGACCCGGATGGTAACCGGAGAGATGTCCGCCGGTGGCGGGTATTGGTCTAGAATGTCACCGCTACTGGATTTTCACCCTTAGGTAGCGAAAAAAAGAAAAGGAAGTAATGATTGTTATAGAGCAATTATACTGGAAGGTTTCGGTGGAGCAGGTTCGCCTTTTTAAGTGACACCCTTGCTATCTATCCTGCAACCTTATAGGTTGGATTCCTCATAACTAACCATTAGAGACGGTATCCCAGAAAGAAATGTATCTCTGCTAGAATACGGTAATATTCCACGATTAGTACTGAGAACATGTAGCGCAATAAATTGAATGTCTTCCTTGACTTTTCGTTCTCTCGAAAGTCTCGAAGTCTCGAACAAAACATGCGGTTCGATAAGCTACCAGCTCGTATGTGCTAGAAAGCCACTTAGAATGCTCCACAGCAGCCTTTCTTTGGAATATTATGTTTTCCAGGTGAATGGGAGGAATGACTTACCGACTTTCTCAACGATTTCCTTGAAATCTTTTTGAAAGATTTCCTCGAATACAGTAAAATTCCTTCTCCTTAGCACATTGCTCTCATTGCTGGTACACCTATAAAACATTTTCTGCATTTTCCACCAGGCACAACTAAACAGTGTATAGGACTATTACCCGGTTCCGACACCATTGTGAACACACTTCATCGTATTTGAAAGTACATGCTCGAATTGATGCAGACAAACTGGGTACGCAGTGGGCACCTTGTTACCGACCACCCCCTGAAATAAAGAAATTCATACTAAGTGAGTTTGAGAAAGAGCTTACTGATTGCTGAGAACGAGTCTTCAAACTTCAATTGCGGCTTAGGGAGAAGCAATAGGATTACCTTGCACGTTCTCATGCATTCCTTGAAGTTCATCTCGGGTTTATGAGTTTCCACGCACTTCATATACGCATCACATTGACATTGCCCCATAATACCGGCATCAGCCACTGCTGCGATAAAGGTCAGTGCAAGCATCACTTGCATCGGCATTCTGAATCGGAAAGAAATCAC